GTCGCATCCAGCCGTGGCCACCACAAAATCGCCGTATGCAGGAGAAGAGCGACACGGAGAGATGGGCACTGGGGGAGAGCAGAGGACACTGGGGGTCAGACCCGCACCGGAGGGTGGGGGGGCGGCAGCGCCTGCTCACCTGCTCCCACGAAACCAGCGCCCTGGTTCACCAGCCCGGGGTGCGCCGGGAAGCGGGTCAGCTCCACGCCCAGCATGTCCCATGCTGCCAGTGTCCCATCGCGGCCCACCGCCAGCACGCGCCCGGCCTGCGCCGAGAGAAGGGGTGAGGGATGGTGCCAGTGCCCAAGGTGCCCCCCCATGCCTGGCATCGTGCCCCCCCCTCCTCTCCCTCAGGTCTGTACCATGGCCAGGACAGCACTGACGGGGCCGCAGTGGGGTAGGAACTCGCGTAGCCGCTGGCCGGTTGCCGGGTCCCAGAGCCGCACGGTGCCATCACTGGAGCAGGACAGCTGCAGGGGCAGAGGAAGGGGACAAGTCAGGGAGGAGCTGCCCCCCCCCCCCGCCTCCCTCCCAAATACCCCCCCACTCACCAGCAGGGGCCCGACCCAAACGCAGCCGCTGAGCCAGTCGCGGTGGCAGAAGGGGAGCGAGCGCCAGATGGGGGGGGCTCCCGGTGTGGGGCCCCCCACGTCCCAGCACAACAGGGTCTGCGAGGACACGGTCTGGTTAGATGAGCAGATACAGCACGTCTGCTCCCCCCACCTCCCAGTGCCCATCACACAGCACGGCTGCCCCACGCCTGCCCTGTACCGCCCCCTAGTGCCCATTTTACAGCATGGCCAGCCCACACTGCCCCCTAGTACCCATCTCACAGCACAGCCGCCCCACACCGCCCCCTAGTGCCCATCTCACAGCACAGCCGCCCCACACCGCCCCCTAGTGCCCAACACAACGCACAGCCGCCCCACACCGCCCCCTAGTGCCCATCTCACCGCACTGCTGCCCCACACCGCCCCCTAGTGCCCAACACAACGCACAGCCGCCCCACACCGCCCCCCCGCGACCATCTCACCGCACAGCA